AAATTTATAACGATCTTGGAATCCAGTGATTGGATTTTGATAATTTTAGGCTTATTGGAATCGTCTTATTGAGATGAACATTTTGGTAGTAAAATCATCCAAAACAGATCATTGGTTCAAATTTTATTTAATATTAAATTTTAAAAATTTTTTAAATTTTTAAAAAATTTTGAAAAATTTTAGCTAATTAAAAGTTATCTACTATTAGAACCTGATAATTTTCTGACCCTCCTTCTACCCTAAAAAATCAGGTGGGGGAGGAGGGGAGTAGCCACTTAGTAGCAAAATATCAGCTGATAAATGGCCTTCCCTTTAGTGTGACATTTAAAAAAATTTTTTAATTATGTATTTGTAAATTACTTATATTTAAACAAAAATAATAAAATAGAAATTTATAGTTCCAATTCTAATATTATGTTGGATTTAAATTCTAATATTAATATGGCAAATTCAAGTTCCAATACTATTTCAAATACAAGTTCCAACAATATATCAAATATAAGTTCTAACACTATATCAAACATAAGTTCTAATACTAAATTTAATGCAAGCTCTAATACTATTTCAAATACAAGTTCTAAAACTGTGTTAAATGCTCTAACACTATGATGAATACAAACTCCAACATTATGTTAAATTCAAGTCAACTTTCTGTTGCTACAATTTCAAGTATTTTATCTATATTGTTTTAAATTAATTATATGTTAACTATATTTAATAGTTTTTTTTTTTTTTATAAATAAATATTCTTATTTTAAAAAGCATATAATTTCAACTTTAAATTTGAATCCCAAACTTACAGCACCTTTTAAAGTTTTACAAATTTACTATCAAAATCAACAAAAATTACTAGTAAAAAGCAAAGAATCGGTAATACTAGAGGTGCGATTCGTGATCTGCAATCCGGATTATCTGTTCAAAATTCATTATCCATTCAATCTTTATGCAATATTGTCGATTATCTATTCAATCCGTTTAAACTGCGAATTGTAGATCATTTATTTAATCTAGAGCTTGAAACTAGCCCTAATCGGTTTTAATATAAAAAAAAAACCAACTCCAAACTTTTAAACAATGCTATATAATATAATAAATTTAAGTTCATTCTTTAATAATAACAGTTTTAAAAAAAACTGTAAAAATCACTATTATATTAACTGCGGATTAGGAACCTCAGTGCGATGCGAAATAAAATGCAAATTATGCGATGTGATTGGTTCAAATTATGCCCACGATGCGAATATTCTCAAAATTATGCGAAATAATCATAAATTATGTGTTTTTTTTTAAAACAACTAATAGTTTTTATTTATTTGTTAAAATTTAAAAAATTTAA